GATGAGTATCTATGGTGCGATTGTTGTATGATGGTATGAGGGTGTCTGACATAATTATTATATGATGTTTGTTGAGTGTATCAAAGTAATTATGCATGTTTTATAAATGATTTGTTGCATGTTAGCTCACCCTACTTGTTTGTGTTTGTGTTTGTGCGATGATCGTATAATTCGTTATACGGGAGCAGATGAAGGAATGTCGTTTGATTCAGTGCCAATGAAGAAAGAGATAGAATAATAAATTAGAATAATTCGAGTTATATTTATGAGTTTGTAGTTGAAATCTGACTTTAAAACATATATACATATCAACTATGAATTATCAAGTGTGAGATTATGAGATGTTACCTTAAATGTAATGCTACAATATATCAATTATGAATTATCAAGTGTGAGATTATGGGATGTTACAAAGTACCTATGAGGCCGGATGCCCGAGCAGTTGAAGCCGGATGGTCAGATGCTCGATGCCAAATTTGGCTAAGTATCTGTGAGGCCGGATGGCCGTTCAGTTGAGGTCGGATGGTTGATGCCCAATTTGGCTAAGCACTTGTGAGACCGGATGGCCGAACAGTTGAGGTCGGATGGTCAGATGCTCGATTCCAAATTTGACTAAGTACTTGTGAGGCTGGATGCCCGAGCAGTTGAGGCTGGATGGTTGATGCCAAATTTGGCTAAGCACTTGTGAGGCCGGATGACCGGATGCTTGATGCCAAATTTGGCTAAGTACCTTTGAAGCCGGAAGGCCGAATGCTTGATGCCAAATTTGACTAAGTACCTCTAGGGCCGAATGACCGAGCAGTTAAGGCCGGATGGCCGAGTAGTTGAGGCCGGATAGCTGAGCAGTTGAGGCCGATGACCGGATGCTTGATACCAAATTTGGCTAAGTGTTTGTGAGGCTGGATGGACGACTAGTTGAAGTCGGATGACCGGATGCTCGATGCCAAATTTGGTTAAGTACTTGTGAGGCCGAAAGGTTGACGTCCTTTAAAACATCGTCACTAGTTCCTTATAGTTACAATGGGGGATACTAGCTCGACCCCACGGTGGGCGCCAAAATGTTTCGGGTATAGGATAGATGGAAGTCCCTTACTCAAAGCAATACAAGTCGTCTTAAAGACCAGATGAGCTTCTTAGTGGTCCTCTATCCTCCAAGTTGTATTCGCTCTCCCTCTTTCTCGTCAAAGTCGTGCGGGCTGGTACCTGTCAAAGGCACTTTGACGCTCAAGTTAGTAATATAACTTATCGATAAGCTAAGCAAGCCATGCATATAATGTGCATCGTGATCCTAAAGTCATACCTAGGACCTTTATTTATACTAGTTGGTAATGGGCCTTTACCTTTCGCTAGCCTAATGACAACCCAATCATACCTTAATATGCATTAGGGACTTAATGAATCATTACCGTTGGACACGGCCTAAGAAGATGACCGCGAGAAGACAACCACGGGAGAACAATCTCAAGAAAACAGTCACGAAATGACAACTGTAAAAGAACGACTACGAGAAAATATCCACAAAAGGACGACCTCGAAAGGACGGCGTCGGAAACGGCTCCGAAAGATCATGTTATGTCAAAATAATAATGTCTAGATCTTTGTAGTACACTGTTGTAATAGACACAAATTGTTCAAAATACAAAAATCCAAACAATTTCACTCACACACAATATGACATTTTGTGACAATTTAACCAAATGCTCTATTATAAGAAAGACTAATTTTTTAAATCATTACTGTTGTTAATTACACTAATACAACTCAACTAAAATGTCAAATTAAGATGATGAATTTCCTGTTTGCATTTTTTAGTAACATCTAGAAAAAAAACCATGAAGTGTGAGAGGTTTTTACCGTAGGAATGAGGATGATGAAAGAAATAATTAAAAGCATAAAGTAAGGTGTAAAGGAGTGGGTGGGCTGTGTTGTGAATTTGAGGGTTTGACCTGTCTCGTCAATTGTGGTAAGCCATATCACGCCCACAGCTAACGCCCCTCACGTGAGACTTTTGGAGTTACAGACAAAGTTACAAGAATTGGTCTGGTATGGTTTCTCAACTCCCACTCTCACCTAACATTTCAGTTCACCTTCCTCCAACACCATCAATCAAAAACCAAACACCACAAACCTCAAATCCCAATCATTAAAAACATCAAACAGTATCATTAATCCCACGTTCAATTCCCTTCCAAAACAAAATGGACAATTCCACCCAAGATTCTCTCTTGCGATCGGAGAACTCCGTCACCTATGAATCGCCATACCCAATTTACGCCATGGCTTTTTCACCCTCCCACCCCCACCGTCTCGCCCTTGGAAGCTTCATTGAAGAATACACCAACCGCGTCCACATCCTCTCCTTCCACCCTGAAACCCTCTCACTCTCCCCACACCCTTCCCTCTCCTTCGATCACCCTTACCCTCCAACCAAGCTAATGTTCCATCCTCGCAAACCTTCTCCCTCTTCCTCCACCGACCTTCTAGCCACCTCTGGCGACTATCTCCGCCTCTGGGACGTCCGCGAAAACTCCGTCGAGCCCCTCTCCCTCTTCAACAACAGCAAGACCAGCGAGTTCTGTGCCCCCCTCACCTCCTTCGACTGGAACGACATCGATCATAACCGCATCGGCACCTCCAGCATCGACACCACCTGCACCATCTGGGACATTGAGCGCACCGTCGTCGAGACGCAGCTCATCGCCCACGACAAGGAGGTCTACGACATCGCCTGGGGCGAGGCAAGAGTCTTCGCCTCCGTGTCCGCTGACGGCTCCGTGCGAATCTTCGATTTGCGTGACAAAGAACACTCCACCATCATCTACGAAAGCCCCCACCCTGATACCCCTTTGCTTCGTTTGGCTTGGAATAAGCAGGATCTCAGGTACATGGCTACCATTTTGATGGATAGTAATAAAGTTGTGATATTGGATATTAGGTCCCCCACTACTCCTGTGGCGGAATTAGAGAGGCATCGTGGTAGTGTGAATGCCATTGCTTGGGCTCCTCATAGCTCCACGCATATTTGTTCTGCTGGGGATGATACTCAGGCTCTTATCTGGGAATTGCCCACTCTGGCTGCTCCCACTGGGATTGATCCCATGTGCATGTATTCTGCTGGCTGTGAAATCAACCAGCTCCAATGGTCCGCTGCTCAGCCTGATTGGATTGCTATTGCTTTCGCCAACAAGGTGCAGCTTTTGAAGGTTTGAGGTGAGGTGAGAAACAAACATAGTTAACTTGGTTGTGTGATAGATAGGACTCTTTTGCCGAATGCTGCTGCAACTTGTCAGTTCTCACTTGTTTTCTTTGGGGTTTTTAGCTTGTGGATTACAGTATGAGTGAGTTAGTGTATACCAGTTAGCACAGACTAGTTTGCCTTCCTCTCTTGGGGGAAAAATCGATGTTTCACTTGTTATAGTTGTAAAATGTTGTATTTATTCCCATTTGATCGTTACTAAATTCAAGCACCTTGCTCCTGCTACGAATGGATCTGTGATTTTGAGCATCTGCTTTCACGCCTCCATCACTTTGCTTTGCTGATGCTGTTGTTTGTTATCACTTAGAGTGTCCTTGATAAACATTTATTCGTCTAACTGTAATAATCTCATTTCTTAGACCTCTGAATATTATGATGTTCGTAGACCACTATAAGATTATCAGTTTTTTGAACTAACTGCAACTCAATTATTGGTTTTGGCAATTCATTTGTGGCCCAGCCTAAAAGTCGTTGCTCATTAAGGATATCATTCTTAGTGAGGTCCGTCTGGTATTGCTGGGGGTTTGGTGTTAAATTCAGGCATTGTCTGGAGCAATTTCAATGACAAATTCCTGTTTTATTTTTTTTTTTAATTATGACCCACTTGAACCTGTTGCTTCATTGAGCACTAGTGGTCTTCTACATTTATGTTTTGATCGTCCCTTCAAATCGTGTGGTTTGCTTGAGTTAGTCACATGATCTTAAGCTTCCCATCACCAAGGTTTTAAAGTCAATTCTTGGAGCTTAACTAGCTTTATACCTGCAGTCTATCACCCTCTTTCAAATTGGGTTGCAATATTAATGTAAAAGGTGTGTGTGGGAGTTTATTTGATGTCAAGCTATTTTGACTTAGTTGATAACGCCGTTAATAATAACATAATCCAATGCCATGCTCTTTTTTCCTTTTCCTATAACTGTTCTGATGTTACCTGTGGCATTTTGAAGTAAATGAATTTACTCTGTGTATTGATATAGTACATTTCTAATACATGTCGAGTCCTGTTGGCTGATGATTCTGCTACTTGTAAATGATGGGATCGCTTATCAGTGGAGCTCATAATTAATTTGAGTGTGTGATTTGTACTCATATATGCAATGCTTATCTTTTCTTTCAGAAGCAAACTTATAAACATTCGTGAACGCCTTCTCTGCATGTCCTAGTACTTTTGTTAGGATGTTTTTAAACGCTTTGCATTACTGAGAAGTGAGGCTGATTTTGGTTTTCCCCCACGGCAATGGTAAAATAAACTGAATTACTGGTTGGTAATATTTTGGAATATTTGATTACTGCTATTGAAATTCTGGTACAGGGCCAAGTAACTTCGTTGCCTTCATATTTTTCTAGTTGTAATCCAGTTTCTCGGAGTTGGGGACAATATTAAATTTGTTTGAGGTGTTTATGTTTTGACCGCAAATTTTTCTGAGGTTAAAGTGCTGGGGAGATGAATACATTTTCAAAAGAATCAAGTGTTGACCCACATGTCTCTGTGGTTTTTCCGTGGCCCATGACTTGACGTTTTATATAGTCCTTTTTCTATGGAAGACAGGCCCTTTGGTTTAAAGTTTCTTGTACTCATAACTTCATTCCTCTAGGCGCCTTGTCTGTTGGAGAAAATTCCCTACATGTCGTACCAATTAAGATGAGTAGTAGTTTACTTTAACACAAATGAGAGTAGCTTTTTTTAGATCTATGACCAATTTCTTTCCCATAAGGCTCTAAAAATTGCATGAAACGGTACTTGTTACATTAGCCAACAGTGCCTGATGTTGTTCTTTAGTAAAACATGGTACATTCTGAGTTATTATTATCCTTAAGACCTTGTTCACTTGAATGGATTTGGAAGAGTAATTGAATGAATTTGAGAGGATTTGAAAATAATTTTTGTTGTTGTTTATTTGAGTGGATTTGGAAATAGGTGAGAGTGGATTTGGAAGTAAATTTTTTTAATTTGTCACATCAATCAAATCCTGTAGTAATTTTTACAAAACGTTGCTTCCAAATTCAATCTCACTTACCTCCAAATTCACTCAAATAAATAACAAAAAAAATTTATCTTCAAATCCTCTCAAATTCACTTAATCACTCTCATCCAAATCCATTTAAGTGAACAAAGCGTAAATCTTTCGATATCTGCCGGCATTTCACCTCTTTCAAATAGGAATTGTTGACACGTGAGCTTTGGTTATCACTTGTTGGATAACCGCATACCTTTTCGAGCAGGTATCCTCCACCTCTGTCTCTACCTGTCGGTTTCTTGGTCTTGAATGCATTAACAAATGTTTACGAATTAGAAACTACTTCATTAAAAAGTCCTATAGATAACGGATGCTCCTCATCTCAGAAAACTGCTCCGAACTACTTATTATGTCTCTTAACTCAGCAATTCAAATGAGATCTCCTCGAGAGAATATCTCTTTCAAATCATTCTACACATCAATAGCAGCATGCATTATATGAATTATACTTTGATTGATCGAAGGTGACAACGAATGTCGGATTTAGGATTGAACGAGACATTGTTGCTTGCGTTTCTCCCATGCTTTATAATTACGTATGATACTCGAATCATGTCATGGATGGACCCATATTTATTCTTTGAAATCAAACAATCTTGTCAAAGTATTAATGGTTTCTCCACTGAATGGTGGTAGGATTTTGGTTCAATGCGCATAATAGAAACTGGTGGGATTTAGTGTTGTGTTTAGATTCACAGTCATGGATGCTCCACATGTATTCTAACAATGTCGTTGATTCCAATTCAAGGAATGGGAGAGAAAGAGAACTCTGATACCGTAAAAGCTTGAAGAGAAAGCGACAAAACACGTTCCAAGTAAACAAAAGTATATTCTTCCATCAAAGGAACGATACAGAGTAGCAGCAGCATACTTGTTTTTGTTGAATTCTCTTTGCTTTCTTCATCCAAATCATGTAAAAGGGTTAATGTATTCGCTTACTTTTCATTCTCTGCAACTCCAAATTTAATTAATAACAACCAGTTTGAAAGTAGTTTAAGAAATTTATTTAATCGATTTTCAAAAGTTGATAAAATTTTAACCAACTTTTGAAAATTGTTTAAGTTTTAACTAACTTTTGAAAATCGATAAAGTTTTAACTAACTTTCAAAAGTTAGTTAAGTAAAATTTTTAATCAATTTTTGGTTTTTGAAAATCGGTTAAGATTTTTCTTAAAATTTTTTTAGTTTACTTTTTGTTTTTATTTGATAAAAATAATAATAAAATATATTAAAAAAATTAAAAACAAAATTTAATATTTTATTAAAAAATAAATTAAAAAAGTTATTTATTTTAATTTAATAATAAAAAACTAAAAATAAAAAATTTAAGAAAACTATACTAATTATATTTAGAAATTTGGTTAACATATTCGATTTAAATATTAATGTATCAAAGGTTAATATATTTTTTTAATTTTTTTTCTTTTTAATTTTTTAATATGTTTTATTTATTTTTGTTTAATAAATAATATTTTTTAAATTAAAATGTTAATATATATTAAATTAATTAAACATTTATTAAATAAACAAATTTATTTTATTGTTAAATTTAAAAAAAAATTTAATTTAATTTTTTTTAATTTTTTTTTCAATTTAAAATATTAAATTTTATTTTATAATTTTGTAATATGTTTTATTATTATTATTATTATTAAATAAAAAATAAATTAAGAAAAATTAGAAAAAAAATCTTACCCAACTTTTTAAAGCCCATTAAAAAATTTACTTAATCAACTTTTAAAAACTAGTTAAGATTTTATTGACTTTCAAAAGGCTAAGGTTTTAATTATTTTATTGATTTGTATATTTGAAACAGACCAATGATGAGCTACCATATAAGCTGTTATAAAAAAGTTGTAAAAAGAAATTGTTAAAAAAATATTTTTCATTATTTAACTGAGAATTGAAATGTTAATTGAGAAATATTTGAGGCATTGGTGAAGTGGGAAGTAATAATAAAAAGAAATAGAAGAAGAAAATGGTTGGGCCTGTGAAGATGCAGGGAGTAGTAGCAGTGGAGTCCAAGTAGAGAAAGAAAGTGGGACCATAAGAAATGAGAACCATAGAGAGAGTGGAGAGTGAATGAAGAAGAGGGAAGCCACGTGATGAGAAGAAAGCCCAAAGGCCCCAAACCACATAGGGAAGCAGAGGAACTAAAAACAAAAACAAATCAAAATATAAAAGAGAATAATAAGAAGAGGAATGAATATCTCTAATCCCATCCCCACCTCTTATTTTATTTTATTTTTCTTTCCACAAAACAACTTAATAAATCAAATTGACCAACACCAACCCAACCCCATTCACCCACAATGGACCTCACCCCTCACACGGCGCAACGCCCCCCAACCCCCCGCCGCGCTTGAGATGTTCCCACCGCCCCCTCAGCCACTCACCACCCTCCCCTCCCTGCCGGATCTCCTCCTCACGGCTCTATCCGTCTGCTTCCTCGTCTCCTCCTCCAAGTCCAACGTCGCTTCCACCCGCTGCCCCTTCCCGCGCCGCTTCCTCAAATTCCCCGCCATGTCCCTCACCGCAACACCTTCCAAAAGTACCGCCACTGCCCTCAACACCCTACCCCCGCGCCGCCACAACTTCGCGTCTCCGCAATCCCTCTCCGACTGGCTAAGACCCCGCCTCCCCTCCGAGTCCTTCGCCTCGTGGGGCGTCAAGCCCGGTACCAAAAACGTGCACAACCTCTGTCTCGAACTCTCCCAGGGAGAAACCTCCCTCGCCGATTCCACTCCTCCGGTTCGGACTGTCCACGTCGTTCTCGTCCGTGTCACCGCCAAACACGGCAAGGTCCTCGTCGAGTCGCACCAGGAGTTGTCCGATGGCAACTTCCGGAAGCGCGGCAGGCCCTTGTCGGAGAAGATGAAGCCCAACGAGGACCCCGAGTCCGCCGCCGTCAGGGGCATTTTCGAAGAGCTTGGCTCTGCGATTGTTGGTGCCGGACCCAATCCCGAAATCGCTGACATTGTCACCATCGATCCCAATTCGTACGAGATGCGGGTCGAGGAGCGCGATTCGGGTTCGTACCCGGGTTTGCCCGGTTGCTACGTTTTGCACACGCTAAGCGCTACGGTTGAGGGTTTACCCGAAGGTGATTTTTGCACGTGCGAGGTTGATGAGTACGAGGGGGTTGTTGAGGAGAAGAATCTTGCGGACAGGGCTGTCTCTGTGAAGAAACATTATTGGACTTGGGTCATTGCTGATTCCATTCAGACTTGATTCATACATACCTTTTTGTATTTTCATAGTTGAGTTTAAGCTGACAATTTTTTTCTTTATGTTGGAAGTTTTTATGGATATCATATGAAATATTGATAGCATCGGTTTTTTGTTTTACTTGTAATATATTATTTGAGATAATAAGCTGGGGGCAGATTATGAGAGTAAAGCTGCTACTTATATCATGTCAATAAAGCACGGGTATAGAATTTGCTGTAACTGTGCGTTTCTTTATTCTCTTTCTGACTTCAATCACCTCCACTCTTAGTTTTCATTACATGTGAATTGCCAAATTTCTGAGTTGGGTGTGTTGCTGTTTCCTTCTTGAATGCCAACTACTTCATTTTGTTCAAATGAATTCAGAAACAGGAGTGGTAATCAGATAATGGGATAATGGGATGAATGAGTTGCTGTTAAGTTGTTGCTAATGCACAGCTTGTGTTTGTATTTGTGATGTTTCTCTCCATCTTCGTTTTCTCCATGGAGGACTTCAATGCGTTTTATCCTTGATTGAAAAATCATATCTAAGTAAAGAATGAGATGATAGGTGAATGAAATTATTCCAAGGGAGGATGCAGAGGATAATGCACGTCATTCATTCACCCTCCTTACTCCCATTATCATGAAAAGATGACTATGAATCTTGTATTATTTGTGAGTCAAGCAAGGTTAGAAATTTCTAAGAATTTGGTGAGGATGACCCATCCCCTATTTTTCATGACAGTTGCTGTATCAGTCTAAAGGCGGCTATTGCACTCTAATTGTTAGAAAGTAGAAGCCTCTCCGTCTACATCTACATCTAACTAAACTGCAAGCATTTCAGAACCTCCTATTTACTCATAACGTAAACAGGAATCAAGCACACTAATATCTAATATCTTGGCTCCAAACTAGTCATAGTATTTATATCTAATATGCAAACTAGATATAAATATAATTTCCACCTGTGACTAGTGCAATAGTGTTTACTAATTTCATGAGAATCAAGACCAGCCTGTAAGCCAAGCCTAAGACTGGCTTGGGCCAACCATTTTTTCTATCCAAATTTGCATTGTGGTTTTGGAATACTAGCCTACACATTTGGGAAAAATTAAGTTGATAGTCTTCTGCAACCAAAATAAAGGGCCTGCGGTTGGGAATACGTAAATGATTAATAAAGACAAATATTTGATACCGCAGGCGTAGAAGTTTATAGAAAGGAAACAAAAAAACTCAGTTAATAACGCATAATGGTCCAAGTTTAAGGAATTTGTTTTCCTTGAAATTAAACAAGGCGTTCCAAGTCTTCTAAATGAAGAAAAAATGTGAGGAGTTTTGCCTTATTATGATTAAGTTCACTTGTCTCAACCTAGATTGGTCCGAGCCAAAATAATTTTTAAACATCAAACGTGCAATACTTTCTGTATATTTTTTAACAAAATTGTTTCATCACATGAAACAAATTACCGTACATTAATTTTCACTGTTCAAAAGTCCTTCTTCATGACGTGGTCCCAGTTTCTAACTTTTTTAGTGAAATCGCATCACAGATTAAAACCAGCACCATTTTCAGATTTAACAGTTATTTTTAAGAGAGGTGGTTCCCTTAAGCACTAAGTCTGCTTCAGAAATTCACAGATAAAAAAAAAGGTTTACTTCCTAGTCTATGATAGATGAGTAACGTACTCATTTTGAGTATATACTAATAATGGATGAGTAGGGGTTTGGAGTTGGAGATGGTAGAAGCAAGCTATACGTATGTAGCAAACAAATAATATGTACTCAACTAAACTTTTTGACAAATTTGTTAGATACCTTCAAAAAGTTACACGTTGTTCAAGCAAACCAAGTTGAATTTTCGGGGTTCTCACTAACCAACACGTTGCCTAACATTTGGAAGCGACTTTCATGTCCATTAAAGCCACTGCACATCAATTTTTTCAAACTCCAAATTGCTGTTTCTCATCGAAGAAATCAACATCCAATTTTTGGGTCACCTTTTGCCTCAACGTCAATGTACACTTTCTTTAGGTCAAGTCTTATAGTACTTAAGTCTCATTTGTAATTTAGATGAAAAAAAAAGACAAAAGTGTGAATGATTTTATATTTTCTTTTTTTTTCCACTCAAAGAAATAACATAGCAATAACTTGCGTAATATTCATGATCTGAACAATGTTCCTTGAAGAGACATTGTAATTTCTCAAAGTAGACGAGTTTAAAGTTACTTTTTGTGTAGAATTTCTGTTGAGGTAGGTTTCCTTGTTGGCTGACTTTGTTTATCAAAATTCTAAGTGCGACAAGTATTTGCCATAATACTTAGTTTCTACAATTCTACTCAATGTGGAAGAGGTTTCTCGTTTTGAAGACTTGCATTTGTATTTTGTACAACATCCTTGTTAGTGATGGGGAAAGGGCCAAAAAATATAACAATTTATCAAACAGTA